CTTGACTTGTATCTGGGTGGACTTATGTCTCAGGGTGAAGGGCGTCTGAGTAGCACTGGAACTGCTATGGACAGGCTTGTCGCTTACCATCAGTCGTACGAAATGTTCATTCCGTCACTTGATATCACAAAAAAACCAACTCCGTAAATTATCGTTTATCCTGTACACAATATAATTAAAGTTTCCAATGAACTACATTCGAGTAATATTTTTTAATTTCCCCTGTCCATTATTTAACCGGTAGTGCTATTTTGTCGCATGGCCCCAAAATGGAAAATTTTTACCCGAAAGCGAAAAAGGACACGAATTTAATTTCTTCCGAACAAGGACCAAGTTATTGAGGAGGGTAAGTCTGCAAATTTTTGACAAGGGTTTCGAAATTTGCTGACAAATAAGTTTAATTGAAATTTATTGTCTTCCTTACTGCGAATGGGTTTAACCTTAAACCAATCAATTCTTATTAGAATAATATTTACATAGGATAACTGCAAATACAAATTCTAATTAGAGTTGTATATTCGGTTACTATTCGGTTTGGTTAACTTTCAAAAATTAAGTTTTCGAAAATTAATGACACTGAAGTAAACAAACCACTTTTTTTAACGCACACATCCTGTGTTGCGGACGCCACAGACTCACAAGAGAAACAAATGTAGGCCATACAAATATTTCTGTCGGTCCTGGAATCGATCCCGGGACCTCTGCGTGGCAGACCAGCACGGTTACATTATAAAAAAAATACGTATTAAACTTGAAAATTCAAGTACCTTTTTTGTTTGTTGATCACACCATTCCAACCACTGAACATAACTGAACGTAATAAGTGGTATTTTTCATACCAATTCTTATATGTGCATTAAACAGGCCAAATGATTTGACCGAATTTATTATTATTGGCTATTCTGCCACTACTATTCGTTGCAACATTCATTCTAATTATCCTATCGTGTAGATTACCTATGACTTTACTTCATGAGTATAGTTGAACAGACTTCCTAGAAATCATATAGTAGCAATAGAGCTCCTTGTGAGAGTGGCACAGCAACTGTTATGGACAGGCGTGTAGCCAAGTTGATGTTACCATCAGTGCACGACTTGTTAATCCCGTCACTTGGTATTATAAAAAAAATCAAGTAGTTGTCTAGTGTATATGTTGCAATCTAAATTACAGGGAAACAACGGTACCTCTCTTCTCTTCTCTCTTAGGCTTATCACATTCTTTCTCTCCCTTTCGCTCTCAAGTTGGCCCTTCTACTACCGAGGATCGTGCTCACTTTGTGATGCAGTGTCAATCTGTCGTCCTCATTTCCTGGTATAATTTGGTAGTGGGCTGCGCTACCTTATCCCGGTCAATCAATCTTGTTAACCTTGTTGGACAATCACTGTAATTAAATGTAGTCTTTTATATAGGGTGACACAAAAATAATGTTCGTATTTTAAGGATAACTTATTCAATATAAACAACAATAAAAAATAGGGAATCAAACAACTATTATTATGGAAACTTTGCCAAGCAAACAGTTTTGGTCTAATAATTACAACTATTTTTACAGACCAATTTTTTTAACGATTTGAGAAGTGTTTGTTTTTAACGCCGTTATTTGGTTGGAGTATACCACTTTAACAGAATTTGTTACACGGCCATTAAGAAAGACACATAATAGCAATATAAAGGTCCCAATGGTTTTATAATTACGGTTTGTCAAAGTGCCGCGTTTGGTTCGACCCGCAACTTATTATCGCTCAGCCTTTATCAGGCTAAAAGCGTCATTATGGCCAAATGTCTGTTTATTACTTAAATAAAGTTCAAGTTCTAAATAATATTGTTCTGATTCAATTATTTTTTTATATCACTGCTGGACGCTGGCTGCTGCGGTGCAATAAAATCTGCCTCTTAACTAGAAGTTCAGGAAGGTAACATTCTTAACAATTAGCTAAACCACTTTAAAACCGAAACAAAAATTGTGGGAATCAATAATTTATATAGTTCAAAATATCTTTTTTTATCTCTTATTTTAGTTTACATCTTTTAGTTTCCCAGCCGATACATCTTCGTGTCATTACTGCTGGCCATACATACAAAGTTTATCCTTAAGTTACAGCATCTCTAAATGATTTGAATTAGTTATTTTTAGCCGACTTCAAAAAAAGGAGTAGGTTCTCAATTCTACTGTATGTTTTTTTTTTGTATGTATATTACGCGATAACTCCGGTATTTGTGAACCGATTTAGATGATTCTTTTTTATTGGAAAGAGGGTACCTCCATAGTGGTCCCATTTAATGTTGAAGAAAATCATCCACCTCTAAGAGTGGCTGTCCATGCATCAAGATTCATTTTTATAAATGGCGCCTATATTTTATTATAAGGAGCAATTATTTTAATGGTTGATTTTGCTATTCTCCAGTTCAAGGCGTTTTTCTCTCTCAATATACTCTTAGTAGTGAGAACCGACTTTTATTATCTCCTGTGGCAAGTTCCATACAGTGGCGAACTAGGGGATGGATCCGGGTTTGCGCACTTATCGGTAACCGATTTCATTCATAAAACTTGGCGAATAGATTTAATACCACGTATTTTTGAGGTCGGTGTTTTTAGTACTCTGTACTCAGATTATCATTATACCTGAGTTGGACAATGGAAAATCAAGAATAAAGTTGTTTATTCTTAAGAGAATGTCTCTTAAAAGGGAACATCTTTTTTTATGAACCAACCAATAAACATGTCTCCCATTTGATATATTTTTTTAAACACCGAGCGAACGCTTCCGTTCTATAATGAATGGCGCTTGCGATGACTCGCGCTATGCAACTCGAGATTATACTAATTCGTGCGTCTACTACAAGCAAGTTTCCACCACAACAGTGTTCACATAAGCCTAAGTTCATACAAAGAAAGAATTTCGTCTACGTCACAACGCATCGAGTCATCACGCTCCTATTTCAAGGTTTTAAATAAAATAATCAGTATTTAAATAAATTTTGGTAAGCGATACGCCTGAGCGATACGTCAGATTTCTAATTGAACCAATAATCTTGACCCGACCTCAAAAGTACGTGGAATTACGTCTATTTGCTAAGTTTTATTGAAATATCCTAAAATGCGTAAACAGCCACCCTTAGAGGTGGATAATTTTCTTCAAAATGAAATGGGACCCCTATGGAAGTACCCCTTTTCAATAAAAAAAAGAATCATGAAAATCGGTTCACAAATACCGGAGTTATCACGTAACATACATACAAAAAAAACATATAATCGAATTGAGAACCTCCTCCTTTTTTGAAGTCGGTTAAAAAATATCTCTGATCCGACTAAGACTTACACGCTCCCGTCAATGTACAAATATAAGAACCGTAGGGCATTCTTTGTCTTTTTATTAAAGGATTAACGAATAACTTTCAAAATGTGAATGGATCGACTGGGAGACCAAAGTGCTGGTAGAAAGAAACCTTGCCCAATGCGTTGCAATTTTCGGCAACTTGACGCGAGATCATCTTCATTTCAACTGGTTCCATTTCATGTAGTCCTAGTTCAAGTATTACAATATAAACATAAACTTTTAATGTATTTTAGCGCTATTTCATCATCATCATCAACCCATTTATACGTTCCAATACTGGGCACGGGTCTTCTCTCAGGCGAGGGTTAATGCGGGTTGGAGACTTCGCACGTTTTCTGAGGGTTGTTAACGTTCTTCGCAGATTTCATCGCGATGTTTTTTTTCACCTCACCATAAATTTGACTTTGAAATAAAATTGCGCACATAAATTACGAAAAACTCATTCCGGATTCGAATCGACGGCCTCTGCTTAAGAAGCGGTAGGTCAAGCCATTAAGCTACCACGGCTTCTAGCGCTACTTAATTTCGTTTATTTGGCAATCCGTGTGATACCCAGGCACACATATAATGGTCTATACATTTATTAAATTTGTCACCTATTGATTTTGCAAATTTGCATGTAAACTGTGTCAATGGCTTTTCGTAGAATAGCACTGGCTACCTAATATATATATGTATATATTTGACTCTACTTATCAAGTAAGAAAAAATGAATGTGTGAGCTGTAATTTGCTCTAAAACTCTATCAGCAAGGAAGTATTTGCTGACTATTATTACTGCGTCCCGGTTTAAAAAAGTAAAGGTGCTGGTGAAATGACAGGTACTAGATACTTATCAACTTATGTCTCAAGATGACGGATGCAGTGGTAGTGCCCCTCAGATCTTTGCAATTTAATGCTCTGAGTGGTACTGCAACTGTTACATGGACAGACGTGTTGCTTACCACCAGGCGCACGAATTGTTAGTCGTAAAGTAAAGTGTCCCGTCACTTGGTGTTATAAAAAAAACTTTCTTGTGTCTTATCCAGACAAGCGACCTATGTCAAATGAATCCAGTTTATGAGGAAGATACCGGTTCAATGTTGTCAGGTGCATGGTACATGTTGTGAATACAGCTGTATAATAAATAATAAATCAGTTCTTTTGGTTTAAGCTATTATTCCTAATAAAAACTATATTAAATACACCTACGGAAACCTTAAAGGTAGTACACTAAACTATAGGTTAAGCTCACACTATTTAATAGTGCTATTTGAACACTATGAAAATGACGTAAGACAGAATATACAACACGTACATCATTAGGTGTGGCTCGTGGTCGTAACCGTGAACAATTAAGGCAAAAAAGGATTACTCATTAAAAAAATACATTAATAAAAATTGTTCTATTTATTACATTTAAAGTAATTTACTATTCTTTGATAAAGTTATTTATTCAACACGCTATGGCGTGAAGAAGTAAGTAAATAAGAGTTTAAAGTAATATGTTACTTTAAACTCTTATTTACTTACTTCTTTATAATTCTTTTTTTTTAAATGAATATATAAAGTATTTTCAGTGCATTAAGCGATGTATTTAATTGCTAATAAAAATTATTAAATCAAAAATATGGACGACAGTTCATTATATCATAAGAATGTATCTTATCTCATAAAACTTACCTTTAATTTTTTTGACACTATACACAACAATAATAACAATTAATAAATTAAAATTGAACAATAACCACAAAACAGTTCACGTGTTTCAATAGATTGACCAAATTTTTTGAATATTGGCGGCAGAATATTCGTAGATACTCTACGGCGGCGTAGCTCGTAGTCGCGTAGCCGTCTGGAACCGGCAAACGTGGCGAGATCCCGAGAGCAACTGAGGGACGGATGGGCGCTGCACCGTGGCCCGCGCCGCACCGTTGCAGTCCGAGTTCTTCCACTCATCTTCTCTCCTGCCACACGCTACCTTAATTGCTTATGCATTTAAAATAGAAATCAAATAAGTCATACATTTATCAAGTCGATGTGAAACTAAAGGAACAAGGATAAAAATTGAGGTAAAGCGAATTACGAATATTCGGAAACGCCATTCCAGTTTCGGCAACACGTAAAACTTCAATAATTTATACCCTAAAAATAACTTTTTCAATCCGCTTCCGAGGATTGGAAAGGATTTAGCTTGTTCGTTAAAAGCAAAATTGATTTCGAGCAGACTTTACATTCGAAACAAGACTGTGTCAGATGTTGATAGGCAATTAGGATGTGTCATATAGGCGAACGGGACATATAGGACAAACGGGAGAATCTCCTTGTTCTTTTCCACTCTGAACTGCGGGACAAATTAAATTCCATTGCGATATTAAAGAAAATCCCCAAAGCCACCGGCGGCTTTATGAAAGAATTTAATAATAAAGACCAGAATAATATTAAATTTTTCGTGAAAACAAATATGGAGCGAAAAGAAATTCTGTTCCCACCTGGGGCCTGGGGTAGTCGAATTTATTAGCATTCAAATGATTTATAACTAGCGAGCGGCAGCTGAATATTTTCTGATTCGTCTTAAATTAAATTCTTTCTTTCCTTTGAGAGGATTTCATTAAGGGTAACGAAATGGCGCGGGGATGAAAAAGATAATCTGGAAAGGAGAGTACGCGGCCGCAGCGCATCCCCGCAACCGGACGCTGCGATAGGCACCTAGCCAGTGAACCGCGAGACGGTAGTAATGGATCTTCTTATACCGGTCAATGTTTGTCCAACACTCTTCTAAAATACTTAATCTTTTTAGGCTTTAATTACATTTAGTTACAACAACATGCGTCCAGCTTAAACGCAGACTGAGATCTTCTGATTAAGTAGCTTATTATTGACAACATCCATTTCCAAAAACTGTTTTGTAATTTAAATGAACGTGTCTCACCTCAAGTGAGTTGTTGACCAACATTAAATTATCTTTGTTCGGAAAATGTATAGATTTTTAATCTTCATTGAATGTAATTAATATTATATTTCATTTTTTTTTTCAATTTTATTTTATTTAGAACAAACTTGATATTGTATTAAATTGTATTCTTCAATTTTATTATTTACCTATAGAAGATGCCATTTGTAACGTTAAATTATTTTAAATTAAACACACTTTTTATGACATACATTGCGGCGCCATGCAGGGTTACATGGATGGACTTTGTATTATTTTAAGAACATTACTCACGTGATTCAATGAATATCTATTTGAAGTGAATCATGTTTTGAAAACCGACAGTCTTACGACTAAATAGTGTTTGAAATGCATTCGTAAAACAGTTCATTTAGTAGCAGTAGAATTTCTTGTGAAAGGATTCGTGCAGGGAAGTACTACTGCCTCTTTACCTATTTCTACCGGCAGTACGCGAACGTTACTGTGTTTCAGTTTTGAAGGGTGCTTGTGAAATTATAGGCACATGAAACTTGTAAACTTATGTTTCAGGGTGACCAATGCGGAGCTTAACACCAAGCGCACGACTTGTTCGTCCTATTATCTGGTATCATAAAAAAATCATCTGACTATAGCCGAAAATCAAAACTCCCTCATTGTATCTACACCCGCTACACTGTACAAGCCTCGCCTTTATGCTTCTCGACATTACATCTTTCTGACACAATCACATCTTCGTCTTATTTGCTCGATCCTCTATACAACAATGGATTTATTTGAGTAAATACGCTGCACTATTCTTAGAGCACATTTTCCCCTTTTCTAAAGCTATTTCCTTCAGCGAACAAAACTATTGGATCCGCGTGCAGTAATCGTACCACTCCGCATGGCGTTTGTAAAGTTGAAATATTTAACGAGCTGACTGCAAAGAACAAAGCCGGCCTTGTATTTAGCTCACATGTCTAGCGTACCCAAAAGGCGGCCGTCATTAAATTCTGTGCTCCTTTATACGCTTCTGACTTCGTTAACCATACAAACGGCTGCGATAGAAATGTGCGAGGAAACTATAAAGGCTTATATAATTACTTACAACGTATTGACGATGTGCAGACAGCTCCCTTCTATGGCACAGATTGGTTATGTCCCCAATTTGAATCTTAACTACTTTACGCATACGTTTACGAACCGATACTAAATGGTTAACTTAGAATATTCTCTTAGAGCTAGGCTCGGTTGTCGGTGTAGTAATCATAATTGAACTCCTTAATATATCGTGGTTGAACTTAGCATATCGGAGCCTTAAGTGATAGATTAAAGTACTTAAGTGACTGTTTTGACACAACAAACCTTTTGTTATTACAGACGAAAATGCTGAATATACCCGATAAAGTAGTTTTTTTTTACCTAAGTACTAAATATTTATAGAAAATCTACATGAATTTTTAAAAAGAGATTCACCATCAGCATCTAAATTGATCGGGGCGTAAAGATCTGTTAAAAAATGTCTGAACATTTTATAAAAATCAACCTTATGGCAATGATTTTAAGCTATGCTCTCAATTGTTTTTAAACTAATACCAGTTTTTATCAAAACAGCTCATGAAATTCTTTAAGATATTTTTTTTAATGTTCAGGTATTTTTGTACACTTCGAGCGCATGAATATTTTTTCCTACATTACATTCCATCTATTTCATCTTTATTTTCAGTCGTTGTGTGTTGTTGACCTTCGGAATTTTTAAATTTATTATTCTCATTTTGAATGAATTAATTTCAATTTAAGAGCGGTTACACATGACGACTTTTAGCTGTAATGTAGTAGCGACGCAGTCGCTAATCGTCTACCTTTACAACCACGCGCGACTTTAAGCAGCGATGCAAACGCGATGCAAACGCAATACAAACGCGATACAAACGCGATGCACGTTTTAAATTAATTAAAAATTTATTTATTTAATGTATTTATTAATTTCACTTTTAAATTTACAATTAACAATTTGCATCGATGCAATCCTATAAATAGCAAGTGTAGCGCTGCTAAAAGTCGCCAAGTGTAACCACTCTGAGAGTTGCGTCACGACTGCTCACCGACTGCATTTACATAACAGTAACCCAAATGCTATTTTAATATATTGATGCATTCGCAATTCATGTTGTGTGTCATTCAATTTTCAAAAAAACTAAAAAAGAACCCGTCCTAAATTCCTGTTTACATATTTTCTCTTTGGTTGTTACAGTGTCTATCTCTAATAAAACTTGTCAAGTCATAGAGTCAAAAAATTTGACACTATGATAAGTGTCGACTATTGAAATTCTTTTACTCTAAATATATTATTAATTAATAACAATGTTATAATTATTCTACTTTTGTTTTCTTTTGTAGATTTCGTATCATTGTCCAATTCCTCTCCTGACCTATTTTTTCCAAAATCCATTCCATTACTTCCTTAATGTATAAAAGGACTCCTCGATTGAAATAAAAAGAAATATTGTGTCGCTAGCTCTGACGCTGACCGCAAAACCTAAGATTAGAAAGAAAAACATCTTTGACTTTTATATATATTTTTCGTTTGCAATGGTATTTAGATCATACAGCCCAATTCGACGTTATTTAGTTTTGTTTTGTTTCTTATATTATTGGCATTTTAAAATTTAATTAATTAACAAGTTAATGTGTTTTTGACTTTACACTTCACAATTTTTATTACTAATATTACCCTATACCACTATAACCGCGTTTAAATCTTTGATGGAGTTATTAAATTCAATGTCAGCTCGTCTGTGTCATTTATTACAACTATTTCAAGTTAGTAAATAGATAATATTGTATTAGTATTAGTGTTAGTAATAGTAAACAGACGAAGGTTATTCGAAAATCTCTCACTAAAGTCAATACAAATCACTGTAACAAAATCATATAGGAGAATTTCGACAATTTCGGTAACTGGATCCGTGGTTCAGATGGTTAGAACAATGCTACGGTGCAGCATGAACGTGGGTTCATGTCACACTAGGTCGACGATAAAAAAAATTCTGTGTGTTCGATCTTTATATTCATAATCAAAACAAAACTAGTGGAGTTATTTTACAAAAAATCTCAATAAATAGATAATATACTTTTAATATACGGTGAAACTATGCTTATTTAATTACTATCAACTTCTCTACAATCTACACATGTTTCTACAAATGACCTACTAATTACTTGATTATTAGAAACATAAGCCTCGCATGACTTATTTTAACGTCTCATCGTGTGTCTACCTGTGCTGATGTAGTCCCAGCTTTACTTTACTCCAACATACGTGAAGCGTAAGAACAAATGAATACCACACGTACAAACTTTAAATTACACCCGCGTTCTAATTAAATGCAGCCGTAAGTGACGTTATAAATAGTGTATAGGTAGCTTCACGTTTTCAATAGAGGAAACCTAATTGCGGGGTGAGATGGCGTATAGCGTGGAGTATCGGAAAGAGTCGCACAATACGAGGCGACACGTGCGCTGGCGCCGCCGCTGGCAACCGCCCTAATTACCCTGCATACGAAGTTTTCCTCAACACGGAGACTATATTGAATGGAACGATAAAATGTTGTGTATATACTTAGCAGTGATTTATCAAAAAGGGAACTAAGTACTTCAATACGCGTTTCTCAAAAATGTATGATTCAGGTTTAAAATGTAAACGGACGCGCACATTTACAAATACTCATTGTGACTGTAGAAAAGCCGTGGCAGCCTTGTCCTACCGACCTCCAAGCAGAGGCTACGAGTTTAAATCCGGGTGAAGTCCCCAACCCGTATTGAACCAGCAGCGTGGTGGACTATGGCCTAAACCATCTCCTGATAGGAGACCCGTGCTCAGCAGAGTGACGTATAAATGGGACGAATGAAACGCGTTACTAATTCACGGGTGAAATTTGTGAAAAAAAAAATTG